TTTTTCTTCTTCTTATTCGGCGCTGTAACCGCCTAAGCGATTTTGGCCGAGTTCAACAAAGCACGCCAGTCGTTTCTTTTCTGTGTCAACTGGCGCCAATTGGAAATGCCAAGTGAAGCCAAGTCCTTCTCCACCTGGTCTTTCCATCTCAGTGGGGGCCTTCCTCTTCCTCTGCTTCCACCAGCGGGTTCCGAGTTGAATACTTTCAGAGCTGGATCGTCGGTGTCCATTCGAACGACATGGCCGTTGTATTTTAATTCGCTGCACTATGTCCATGTCGTTGTAAAGCTCATACAGCTCATCGTTTTATCGTCTGTGGTACTCGCCGTCGCCAACACGTAAAGGCCCGTAAATCTTCCGCAAAATCTTTCTCTCGAACACTCCAAGAGCCGCCTCATCGGACGTTGCCATTGTCCATGCTTCTGCGCCATATACCAGCACGGGCGTGATGAGTGACTTATAGAGTGTGATTTTCGTACGTAGAGAGAGGACTTTACTCCTGAATTGCCTACTCAGTCCAAAGTAGCACTTGTTGGCAAGCACGATGCTCCGTTGGATTGCCATGCTAACATTATTATCGGTGTTAATGCTGGCTCCCAAGTAAACGAAATTCTCTACTTTCTCGAAAAAATGCTAAAAAAGTTAATACTTAATAGAAAACAAACTTACTCATAAAGCTAGGTATAGCGGAAATACGAATGCCTAGTAATGCTTAGAAGAAAAAAATATATAGGAAACATTTAGCTGACACCGGACCTAAGAAACTTCGGACACGGGGAAGTGCACTCTTCGTCCAAAAACACACTGAGAACGGTACAAGGGGCAGTTTGAAACATATTAAGGGCCGGTTGTTCAATGTTTGGTTATCACTACTTGCCGGTTAAACATCATTATCGACGATTTCGACATCATGCGTATAACATGTGATCGATAAAGCAGTCGTTGTATTTAACCAGACCTTCTACCTCCGATTTGTGCTAATCAGACATTGAACAACCGGCCCTAAGTTTGGTGGGCACAGCATTACTGTATTGGTATTGCTGGTATTGGCTGGTATTGGCTGGTATTTTTCTCGCGCATATAATCAAAGTTAATTATGGGTAAAGAAATGTACTTCATTTATTAGAATAGCACTTTGGTTCTATATGATAGGTCAAACGGCTAAACCAGTGATTCCCAAAGTGGTCCAGGTGGACCCCCAGGGGTCTACGGGAGACCCCATCGGGGTCCTCGTTGGCGTAAAAAAAATATGGGGTCCACGAGTTGTAAGTGGGG